ACAACTTTAAAGAGTTCTCTTTATTATTGTGGGGTGGAAGACATGCAGCTGCCTGCTCCTCCCTCTCCTGCAGTGCAGGTGCGAAGGTTTCTCTTGCTTAGTTACCTTCACAGAGCTAAGGGAAAGAGCTGAAAATCAGATGAAGAATATGCCTGTGTTCAGGCCCCAGCCTGCTCACACTCGCTTGCTTCTCAACAAAGTGCTGTGGTTTTAAAAACTAGGGACGGGGGAAGGAAAGGAACCAGAAGGGGAGAGGCTGCGGTGGAGGCAGGGGAAGAGAGAGAGAGACTGCATTCTGTGGTGTGTTTGTGGCTTCCACTCTTTGATCTCTTGCCAGGGAAACCTGGAAGGTCAGGCCAAGCTACAACTAAATTATGGAGAGTGGAGTTGAGCAGAATGCTGGAATGGGATCCATAGTGTATGCATGTGTATTGTATGTGTAAAAGCACTCTGCCCGCATCCAAGTCCGCTCTAACACCCACTTATATCTCCACATCTGAAGCTTTCATATCTCACTGTTGAACTGAATTACACTTCCTTTATATTTACTGTGAGGAGAGCCCCTTTTTCTAATCTGCTTCTTGTGGTTCTATTAAGTTGGTAACTTGGTCAGAGACTTGATTTTAGTGTCTGTGTAGATGGAATGAGTCAGACTCTGTAATAGCTTAGTTCACACATTGGGTCTGTTTTCACCCTTAGGATCAGAATCTAAACGCAGGCAAAGAAAACAATCCCCAGTCTTTGAAGTGACTGTGCTGCCCCTCACCTTTTCAGCCTTTAGTGTGTGTGTGTGTGAGGTTGTGTGTGAGAGAGAGAGCAGGGGTGGCAGGTTTGTAGAAATTTTGGTGGTGCCCAGAACACCCCCCCCCTCTCCTCCCCCCCGCAAGCTCCCCACACACACCTGCCCAAGGCTCTGGGAGGGAGTTTGGTGGGGGACGGGGTCTGGGATGCAGACTCTGGGATGGAGTTTGGGTGCAGGAGGGGGTGAGGGGTGCAGGCTCTGGGAGGGAGTTTGGTGGGGGACGGGGTCTGGGATGCAGACTCTGGGATGGAGTTTGGGTGCAGGCTCTGGGCTGGGGCAGGGGATTGGGGTGCAGGAGGGGTGCAGGCTCTGAAAGGGAATTTGGGTGTAGAAAGGGTCAGAGGTCAGGCTCTGGGAGCGAGTATGGGTGGGGGAGGGGGTCTGGAGTGCAGGCTCTGGGAATGAGTTTGGGTGCTGGGTGCAGGCTCTGGGCAGGGGGCGGGGTGCAGGAGGGGGTGAGGGGTGCAGGCTCTGGGAGGGAGTTTGGGGGTGAGAGGGGATGCAGGGGTGGGGGTGTAGGAGGAAGTCTGGGGGCTGAAAGGTGTGTTTGCAGAGGGGGTGTGGGTGCAGGCTCTGGAAGTGGATGGGGGGTTCGATGCTTACCTGGGGCACCCTCTCCGGCAGCGGCTCCTAGGCGGGGCAGGCCGGGGGGGTCTCCTCATGCTGCTGTCTCCAGGCACCGCCCCTGCAGCTTCCCATTGGCCACAGGGGCGTTTGGGGTGGGGGCAGCGCCCAGCGGCACAACCCCCTCACACGGGCTGCAAGGACCTGCTGGCAGCCACGTGGAATGAGCGCGCAGGAAGCCGCTCAGCCCCTCTGCGCTGCTGGGTGGCGGTGGGAGCCCCCGGGCTGTTTTAAATCGCCTGGGGGCGGCAGGTGAGGCCGAGGGGAAGCGTGGGGGGAGTGTGTGTGTGTGGGGGGGAGTGTGTGTGGGCGGGGGAGGTGGGAATCTTTGCTGGAGCCAGGCCCCTGGGACAGGAATATTCCTGGTGCCTGGGCACCACGGGCCCATAGAACTCACCGCCCATGAGAGAGAGAGATGTAATTTCCTTTGGAATGAAAAGTTTCAGTTTGAAAACAGGGCACTTTTTGAGACAGGGCTTCCAGTCCCCAGTCCGTAGACTGATGGAGGGTTACTTGTGTCATACTTTTGACTCATGCTTCGGGAACAGTAGCTGACCAGCATGCTTGTTAGCCTTGTGCTTGGGTGGCCAGCTTTATGGAAATAGGAATAACAAGGGTGGAGAAAGGGAAAAAGCGACAAGTGAGAATTAAAAGTAAAGTTGACTTTTCTGCCTTTGCCTGGGGCCTAGCAAAATCCTGCCTTTGCCTGGGTGCCTTGCCTGCGAACCCCTGTGGCACTTCGCTTGATACCGGCTGCCAACTAGACATCAAGCCATTGATCATTACCCATTGAGCCTGACAATCTAGCCAACTTTCTATCCACCTTATAGTCCATCCATCCAATCCATACTTTTTTAACTTGCTGGCAAGAATTCTGTGGGAGACTGTATCAAAAGCTTTGCTATATTTCCTGGACCAGGGCCGTGGTCCTATGTTACTTATGCCCCTGATACTACTATTAAGGTTAGGAATTAAAGCTGGTATTGTAATATGTTCCTGGGACTCACCTTCTGTAATGAGCTGAGTGCTTTAAAGTTTATGCAGAGAAGTTGGATGTGGGGTGGGGGCACTCAAGTCAGGATGTCAGCTGTTCTAATCTTGTTCCTGGCAAAGTGGTTGGATTTATGGTACCATTGCTCAGCAGCTCTATAAGTAGGTGCTGCTTTGTGGACTAATACAGCAGCATTTCTCAGCTTTTACTCTTCACGTAGCTGTAACATCCCTTGGTTCCCCCAAGTCTCATGCCAGCCAGCCTAGAAAATACCACTTGTGCTGTGCTGAGCCTCTCATTTGTCTGTGGAAGAGGAGCTTGCTATTGCAGTGGTGCGCTAATGCTGCAACATGCAGTAGATATTGTAACATGCTATCTGGAAATATGCCACAAGGGTGTGTGGTGCCCCACAGGTACTCAGATGCTAGTAGCTGGAGGCATTGTGGTTCTTTGTCATCTTCAGCTTACAGAAAATATAGGCGTAAGAGTTTGACATTCAAGAGCTACTGGGCCTTTTTGTTCTTTAGCATGTACCGGGGGAGAAAAAGTCAAGATGCAGCAACCCAAAATTGTACCTAATGAGTCTCAGGATCAAATAATTATAAATTTCTCAAGTCTGCAGAGTACTCCTTATAACTAAAAGAAGAACCTATGAATAAGATCTTGTCTACACAGGGACCTCGGGAAATTTAATTCAAATGAGCTAAAGCAGTGAATTTAAAGTGGATTAATTAAACTGCATGAAACCTCTGGGTGGATGCTCTCTTTCAGAGTCAAAGTGGCTTCTAACTTCTATGATTCTGTGCTACAAGACTGTGATAAGTGACCAAACTTTGTTTTTGGTAATTTATTGGGTTACCTACTGTAAATCTGCTTGTTCACCATTCTATGCAAAATGAACCAAACCCAGACACACTTCAAAAGTATAATAATCTCCAGAGATCAAAAGCTCTTCACATGTGACCCGTGCACACTGAGAAAGAACTGCTTTCTAATAGGCTCTAAAGTCTACATCCCTAAAACACTTGAGCAAGTGCTGGGCATCTGTGAGAGAACCCTTCTGGGCAATCCTGGGTGAATTGCCACTTCACTGGCACATCTCCATGGCAAAGAAGAAGAGCGTTACTAGATCAGATTCCTTTTTGCTCTTCATTCCCAACAGCTATTAGCGATTAGCCAGGTGTTCCGACTTCAAAGGAGATAAATATTTGCTGGGCTGAGGCAGAGACCCTTTCTTGGGAGCTGGTTTCCCTCAGGTGCTGTCTGATGTGTTTTATTAGGTTTTAAATGAAAACACAATAAAGAGAGAATGGAGCAGAGAAAATGACCAGTTAGACCTTCATGCTTGCAGCCAATTCTTTTCATGTAGTAAAACCTCAGTATTACTCCATAAAAGGCATGTTTGTACCATCTGTTTATTTCCTGTTGGATTTAAACACCTGCTGCGTTGGTCTCTCTACAAAGGGTCAGGGCCCTGTGATTTCTCTCTGTTACCGTGACAGTTGTTGTTTTCTGGAGGAAGCGGGGGAAACCTAGTCCTTCATGGATGCCTGAATGGGAGGTGTAGCGCTGATGACTGTTTGTTGTAGGAAGTTACAGGACAGCATTTCAGTCGAGGTTGCAGAGACACTTACAGAAGCTGCAGTGAAAGGTGACTGCAGCTCCCATTTCACTATCCCAGAGGATTTTAATACATACAGTGTCCCCGGCTGGCTCTTGGTCACTCCAATTCTGAATTATGGTCCCTTGGTATAAACCCTTCACAAATCAAATAGAATCGATCTTCTGTGGGTGGAGATGCTGCATGCAGTAAGACTGACCTCTAGTGGACAGACATAGCACTGTCCTTTCAAAACATCTGAGGAATACACACTCACTGGGAAGAATTTGTCACAACTGCAGAGAGAGAATGAATTGAGGAGACTTTAAAGGTGACATGTGTAATGGCCCTGTCTCCTTATAGACCTGCCAAAGGTGAAGCCTTTTCCCTCTTCCTCACTGCAGAAAAGGTTTTCTCCTGGAGCCCCACAGCACTCCCTCCCTCCTATGTGGTCTGTGGAGGGGGCTTCTCTCCAGGTTACTTAATTTTTTCAGTTCTAAGAAATATTTTTTAAAAAGTTTAAATTTCATCTGAGACTATTAACTTGCTCAAAAGGAGCAAGAGTGGGGCTGGGAAGGGCACCATGGATGCCCTGGAGTGGTTGGCTCCTCCCTGCACTAGAGATTCAGTTATCCCTGCATTTGCAGTTGCCTTCTGAATTGATTATATGGAAATAAAAACAACATTTAAATCATGTTTACGTCCTTCCCAGCATGTGAAAGTGGGAAAGAGTAGGCTGCTGTTGGCAGAGGCAGTACTAGCCCCTTGGGGGCCCAAAGCAGGAATAACCCCCCCCACCCACCCATACATACACACTAGGAAAGCAAATAGAGAGCCCCCTGAGCTGCTCAGGGCCCTAAGCATGCCTAGTCTGCTTATGCCTAGCAGTGGCACTGGTTGCTGGGATGGGAAGAGTTAGGGGGCAGAGGGGACATTTCCCTTTTGGGAGGTGTTAAAGGGGCATTATCTTTTTCTCATTGCAGGCAAAGCGGGCAGTGCAGCGAGGAGCCACAGCTGTCATCTTTGATGTGTCTGAAAACCCAGATGCCATTGACCAGGTACAAAGCAGGGAGCCCAGGTTTATCCCAGTCTCTATGAGCTTTACCCTCACTGTTAGGGCTGCTGTACACCAAACTCTCTGAATCGTGAGCTGTGTTCTTTGCTCTCATAATAGAGCTGTCCTACAATAGACACACCTGCTCTTCTCTCTGGGGATGTGGTGTTTGGGTTTTTCCCTCCCACTCTTCAAGCAAGTACCCTGACAGAGGGTGATGGAGAATGGTAAAGCCAGAGAGGTCTGTCTTGTTTCCTACTTTTTAATCTGCTGCATTTCTATTTACTCTTTTTCCGGTGGAGGGGGTGAGGTCCCAGGAAAGCGGGGAGGTGAGTACTCCCTTTTGCCCAGCATACACACGCACTAAGTACCACCTCAGCCTTTTCACTCCTTTTTTTGCGACACTGTTGTAATCCATTGCTGTGTTGTCTAGGATGCTCCCTTCATCCCCCTCATCTCAAAGGGAGAGCTTTTGATGTACAGGGTGGAAGGGATGCTTCAGTGTAGTGCCCGTTAGCAGCAGCCACTGCAGTTCAGGTTGCAAAATGTTTTCTGTTTTATGCCCCTGTTTTCTCACTTTTTGGACTGACATTTTCCAGGCTTTGCCTCTTGCTAGAGGAGTTGGTTTTGAGTGTGTCACTTTTATTCACTTTGGGAGGGTGGGGTTGTGTTTTTGTCGGAAGTTTGAGCAAAATCTCTTCAGCCAGTTCTGAGTTATGGGAGCAGGAAAATACTTTTACAAGTGTGGAAAAAAATTCTAACTATGCTTTTTTTGAACAGGGCTACGACAAAAATAGCTCAAGTATGAAAGTTTAAGTTGGGCTTGTGTATAGTCCTCATGGATAAAAGCTTGCATGATTAGGTTTGAAAGAACTTGCTTCAACTCTGGAAGAAACGTGTTTGAAAATTGAGTACAGAGCATGTATATTAGAGACTATCTGCAAGTGGAGGTGTAAAATCTTAAAACAGATCACTTACATGTAACTTAGGTCCTAATTCTGCAACATTTACTTGCATGAGTAAATCTTGATTTTCACACATGGAAGGAATCCTCTACTGTGGAAACTCACTGGCCACAGGAGCAAGTGAAACCCTCAGAATGTTGGTGCCTAAACTGCTCTCCCTATATAAACCTTCCAACTGCCTCCTCATAGGCCCAGTCTGCTGCTTCCATGCCACAGCATACAGCTTCTCACTAGCTCTGCTCTGATCTTGAGGATTTAGCCCCGCACCCAGAGGTTCTGTTGACAGCCTTCCTTTCTCTATTCTCCTGATATTCTTGTTTTTCCCCATCGTTAGTCTGTTTCTGGGCCAGCAGGGGTAGTGGTGTCACCTGGATGCAGACATGGTAGTACAAAAATAGCGAGCAACAGCCCTGTGGGAGGTCACTGCTGACCAGGAGGGGTCCTGCAGGGGTGGATGACGGACTGAAGTCAGTGCTTCACTGCATGCTGCTCCCCTCACTTCAGGCAAGGGAGCAGTCAGGTTCCAGGAGAAAGTGGAACGATATCCAGTACAGACATGGACAGAGCTAGGGCCCGTTGGACGTGTGGTCAGAATCTGCTCAGTGGGAATCTGCCCTATGCTTGCATGATGGCTGGGCCATCAAATCCAATGCCCCAAATGCCCATCACCAGATTCAGTACTACCACCCTTGACAACCACCAGTGCCTTGGAATCGTTCCTTTCAGGGATATTACTCCACCTGAAGACACTGGTTTCCTTAATGTGGTGCTTCATGTGTGGTCACGTTACAGCCCCTGGTCAGTGCTTTAAAGATATTATAGGATGAGTCTGCACCTGCCACTTCTTTGTTGAGCCACCAATTTTCTTATCAAGCTACTCTGGTGATCTCTGGGAATACGTCCTGAGCATGGATCCAAGTGACCCCCACAAATTTTTCCCTGTCCTCCTTGAGCTATTCTCCTAGGAAAAAGGTGGCTTCCAAGATGTCCTGATAAATTTTATAGGAAAGCTTCTGAGAGCCTCCAGATAAGTAAAAAGAAAAGGAGTACTTGTGGCACCTTAGAGACTAACCAATTTATTTGAGCATGAGCTTTCGTGAGCTACAGCTCTGATGAAGTGAGCTGTAGCTCACGAAAGCTCATGCTCAAATAAATTGGTTAGTCTCTAAGGTGCCACAAGTACTCCTTTTCTTTTTGCGAATACAGACTAACACGGCTGTTCCTCTGAAACCTGTCCAGATAAGTAGTCGTCTTTGTAGAAAAATGAATCCCCTTCTTCCTCTGACTATTCTCCGCAGGCTTGGGCTCAGAATCTGGAGCGCTTGGCATAAGGGATATTTAATTAACTTGTCCTGAAAGTAGATAAGGTGTTGGCATTAAGAGAGAACTCAGTGCCCTGACTTCCCTGCTAGTATTCCTCTCTTACGAAAAAGGAAAGCAAGGACGATATATCCTTTTCAGTTCTAACCCCTTTGGAAGAGGTAGTGAGTACAAAATGCTTAGTGGAAACATACCAGCATATATGCTACACTACTTGTTGTTTTTTAAATCAACGAAAAGTGGGATAATTTTGGCTTTGCCCATACGGTGGTCTCAGAGATCCTTAGTGAAAAAATGCATGTACAATGGTTACTTAAAAGGGACTTTGACACCCTCAGCTGCTGCATCCAGTGCCTTCACATCTAAAGCCTCCTTGTCCTGACTAAAAGCCATGACCCAGGTTTGCAAGAGTAATCTAAGGACGAGAACTCCCTCTTCCATCCCCCCCCCAGAAAAGAAAAAGGAGGGCTTCCTGCAAGCCTTTTTTCCTACCCTAAGGCTTCCTTTGATCATATCCTGCAAGCCTAGATTTAATGGATAAGCTCTCAATTTCAGAGCCTGCAAACTCTAAACAAAGAATCCTGCTATGCAGACAAACACCTGCAAAGTTGATCAGTCATTTTATTCTGCCACAGCCTGCACATTATGTATAGAAGAGAATGGCCCCATTTTTTTCTGTCCCATGATTTGTTACAAGCTTACGTCCTGCTCCCAGACGTCACTTAAAGGGAACTACGATTTGGCCTGTGCAGCTCCGCATGTAGCCATTTCTGTGTCACCTCCTGACAGAGCTTAAGACCCTGAACTAAAATCCTGTAAGTGGAGATTTTGGGATGGTTATCACTCTGAGTTTGCCTATCCTTTCATGAGGATACCCTTCATGTATATGAGACTCCTTTTGTTCTAGAACATGGTTTTTGTTCTCCTTGGTATTACTATAGCTAGAAAACATATATGATTGCTGTCATGGGAGGTGGTGATCACCTCCAGGGCTTTCCTGTCCCAGGCATTGTTGGATGGCTAGAAGCAGTTTGGTGAAGTCCTTGAAGACATTAGCAAGCTTTTTATGCCTGAGGACCACGTTGATTTTGTACCAATGAGCAAAAGTCACAGGTTCTGAGACCAAACTGCTTGTCATCCCTCAAGGCAAAGCAAGTGTTCTCCTTGACGTATGATTTGTCACATGAGTGCTTCTCCCTGGCACTAGGCTACATGACCGTGGAATAGGCTGGGAACACCTGACCTATCTGGACTGTGACCCCTTGTTATAACAGAAAAAAGTGTGGGACCCTCTCCCATCTAGTCATAAAAAAATGGAGGATGGCTATAACCTCTTGATCTGTTTGAGGCTTTCTGAGGGTCATGACCCTCCGGCTGAGAATCAGTGTTATAGATTTTGTTCCCTCATCTTTAAATTTCAACAGAGTACTTGAAGTCCTAGGGGACAATTTCCAGGGTGAATCAGGCCCAGAAAATTTCCTTTGAGGGGAAAATAAATGTGTAAGGGTATAGCAGTTACAAGGATAGCTGCATCTCTCTCCGCTTCTAGTCAGGCCTTGTGCCTTTACCTATCCCATGGTGGTTCTGTGTCAAATTAGACCGTTTGAATGTACTGCATGTATGTTATCTTGTAACAGGAATCCTTTAGTCTGGATTTTTTTCCCACTCTGTTACATAATATATGCTTAGAGGTTGCTAAGGTTGGGTACTTTAGTACTCAAGTAGGTCTGTGCAGTGGTCCTAGGACACTTATAGGGGAAGCAGTTTGTATGCCAAAATTCTGAGTTTCAGCTATGCTTGTGGCTATGGTTGACGCTTCAAGTTAGTCTCCTCATTACAGAGGATTCCTCCATTACATGAAGACATATATGGTAAATTCAAACTGTCAAATTGAATACACACGTGCATAATTCTTTGCAGATTAAGACCCAAGTGTGTACCTGTTGGTTCAAATAAGCATTAGAAGCCAAATAACTGTATCAGTGAGTTTACAAGCTCTGCTGCTGAAGACAGAAGAACTTATTAGCTCATAAATCAAAGGGCTCACAAGCTAGGAACTTGAATTTTGCTGATGAAATGCTTGCTGCATAAATGTTCTACAGCAGAGGTGGGCAAACGTTTTGGCCCGAGGGCCACATCTGGGTGGGGAAATTGCATGCAGGGCCATGAATGTAGGGCGAGGGCAGGAGGTTGGGGTGCAGGAGGGAGTGTGGGGTGTGGGAGGGTGTGCAGTGTGCAGGAAGGGGCTCAGGGCAAGGGGTTGGGGTGCAGGAGGGGTGCGGGGTGCAGGAGGGGGCTCAGGGCAGGGGGTTGCGGTGCAGGAGGGATGCGGCAGGGGGTTCAAGGCAGGGGGTTAGGGGGCTCAGGGCAGGAGGTTGGGGTGCAGGAGAGGTTCGGGGTGTGGGCTTCGGCCCAGTGCCGCTTACCTGGAGCAGCTTTAGAGTGGCAGCAATGCATCGTGGGGCTAAGGCAGGCTCCCTGCCTGCCCTGGCCCCACACCGCTCCCGGAAGCGGCTGGCACCAAGCCCCTGCGTCCCCTGGTGGGAGGAGGCAGGCAGGCAGAGGGCTCCATGTGCTACCCTCGCCTGCGGCTCCTTCCCCCGAAGCTCCCATTGGCCGTGGTTCCCCATTCCCAGCCAATGGCAATCCCGCGGGCTGTAGTTTGCCCACCCCTGTTCTACAAGCTCAAAAGTCCTCAATTGTTGTAGAAAGCCAAGGAAATGTAAATACAAAAATTGTTAGTATAACATTAAAACTATATAGTTTAAAAACCACAAAAGGTTTGAAAACGTACACTGCAGCCAAGTTAATATTTTTGGAACATACAAAGTATTTCTATTCTTGTTCTTAAGCATGAAGTTTAATGTATTATTATGCTAAAATATGCACAATTAAAACATACATATTGCAGCTGAGTAAAAATTGCTGTTAAGAGATTAACTTTTACCTTTCCTCACTTCGTGATTTTTAACTGAAAAATTAAATCAGTTTTAAAGAGGGCTGTCAAGTGATTAAAAAAAAATTAACTGCACGATTAAAATAATGAATAGCGCAATTAATCACATTGTTAAACAATAATAGAATACCATTTATTTAAATATTTTTGGATGTTTTCTATAATTTCAATTAGTGTACAGTATATATGTATTGTTGATCACAAATATTTGCGCTGTAATAAACAAAAGAAATAGTATTTTTCAGTTCCCCCATTACAAGTACTGTAGTGCAATCTCTTTATCATGAAAGTTGAACTTACAAATGTAGAATTTTGTATATAAAAAAACTATTAAAAAGCAAAACAATGTAAAACTTTAGAGCCTACAAGTCCACTCAGTCCTACTTCTTGTTCACTCAGACAGACAAGTTTGTTTACGTTTACAGGAGATAATGCTGCCCACTTCTAATTTACAGTGTCACCTGAAAGCAAGAACAGGCGTTCGCATGGCACTTCTGTAGTCGGCATTGCAAGGTATTTACATGCCAGATATGCTAAACATTCGTGTTCCCCTTCATGCTTCACCACCATGACGCTTGTTTAAAAAAAAAATGCATTAATTAAATTTGTGACTGAACTCTTCGGGGAGAATTGTATGTCTCCTGCTCTGTTTTACCCGCATTCTACCATATATTTTATGTTATAGCAGTCTCAGATGGTGACCCATCACATGTTGTTCATTTCAAGAACACTTTCATTGCAGATTTGACAAAACGCAGAGATACCAATGTGAGATTTCTAAAGATAGTAACAGCACTCAATGCAAGGTTAAAGTGCCTTCCAAAATCTGAGAGGGATTAGGTGTGGAGCATGTTTCAGTAGGCTTAAAAGAGCAACACTCTGATGTGGAAACTACAGAACAAGACCCACTAAAAAAGAAAATCAACCTTTTGCTGGTGGCATCTGACTCAGATGATGAAAATGAACATGCATCAGTCTGCACTACTTTGGATCATTATCGAGCAGAACCTGTCATCAGCCTGGACGCATGTCCCCTGGAATGGTGGATGAAGCATGAAGAGACATACGAATCTTTAGCGCATCTGTCATGTAAATACCTTACAATGCCGGTTACAAAAGTGCCAGGCGAATGCCTGTTCTCACTTTCAGGTGACATTGTAAATAAGAAGCAAGCAGCAGTATCTCCTGTCAATGTAAACAAACTTGTTTGTCTTAACAATTGGCTGAACAAGAAGTAGGACTGCGTGGACTTGTAGGCGCTAAAGTTTTACATTGTTTTGTTTTTGAGTGCAATCATGCAACAAAAAAAAATCTACATTTGTAAGTTGCACACTTTCACGATAAAGAGATTGCACTTACAGTACTTGTATGAGGTGAACTGAAAAATACTATTTCTTTTATCATTTTTACAGTGCAAATATTTATAATAATATAAAGTGAGCACTGTAGACTTTGTATTCTGTGTTGTAATTGATATCATTATATTTGAAAATGTAGAAAAACATCCAAAAATATTTAATAAATTTCAATTGGTATTCTATTGTTTAACAGCACAACTAAAACTGTGATTAATCACAATAAATTTTTTAAATGGTGATTAATTGTTTGAGTTAATTGCATGAGTTAACTACGATTAATCGACAGCCCTAATTTTAACTCAAGTTTTTAACTTAATTTTATGTTTGTAAAGTGTTTTGAAATTCTCGGATGAAAGGATGCATACAAATGCTATCTTCATTTACCATGGTCTCCTCTCCTTCTCTTGAAAAGAGAATTGCTGGTCTGAAATAAATCTATTTAATGGAATTTTACTGTGTTCTCTTCTAGCTGAACCAGGGCTCAGAAGACCCTTTGAAGAGGCCAGTGGTGTATGTGAAGGGGGCTGATGCTGTCAAACTGATGAACATAGTTAACAAGCAGAAAGTGGCACGAGCAAGGATTCAGCACCGGCCCCCACGGGTGAGACTTAGTGTGCAGTGGGGATTGTGTTGCTATTGCTTCATGTAGCATCTGTTAACAGCATTGATTGATAACATGTAATGTGATGCTTTCCATGAGTGCTGACTGGAGAACAGTTAGTTACTCACTCAAAAAGTATCACTGACTTCCATGGGATTTCTCAAGTGAGTAACATCTCACCAGTGTTAAGGAGGAGGTTCACAGTCTGGGACCTATATTTATTACACAGGGATTGTGGGGGGGAGAATTGTATTATAATTGTCCATTAATAAAGAAAACAAAACATTTACATTTAAAAAAAAACAAAACTAATTATTGTATTCTACAGGGATGAACTCCCAGGAAAGCAGTCTGTCTGATGTTAGTGAACATTTCTTGATTACATTTTTCACACATGGATTAACAAAGAAATCTGAGACTTTATTCATTTTCCAATCTAGAATGGATATTCCCAAGACATCTTGAACACTTCCTACATGTAGTTTATATGAGAAAAGCGAACATAAAAATCAGTGCCAAGTATCAGAGGGATAGTGTGTTAGTCTGTATCCACCAAAACAACAAGGAGTCCGGTGGCACCTTAACGACTAACAGATTTATTTGGGCATAAGCTTTTGTGGGTAAAAACCCACTTCTTCAGATGCATCATCAGGCTGTCAGATGCATTTCGTTTTTTACCCAAGAAAGCTTATGCCCAAATAAATCTGTTAGTCTTTAAGGTGCCACCGGACTCCTCCTTGTTTTTATAAAAATCAGTGTAGACCAAGTTTCTAGTTCATTTTTACTGTATTCCTAAAGCACCAGCTGTATTAGGAAGCATGACTCATTTGAGCCATCGGTACTTTGCTGAGGACTCAGACATGTTGATTTTACTTGCTTCAGAAATTGAATTATACCAAAAACCCACTGGAGCTGTTGGTAACTGTGATTCACTCTGGTGAAACCTGTTGTTTGTAGAATCAGCATTGAGTTCAGAGCTGCTGTAAACCTTATACTCTAAGGCTGGTCATAACTGTGGCCCATCACACGCTTACATTCCCGTGATAAATGCAACTTCCTCCCATTTTTTTCCTGATTGTTCGCTATATCCCTGCATGTAGAGTACGCCCCTGACTATTCACTGTTAAGTTTATGGCATCTTATAAAATAATATTAGTTGACCTCACTCAAAGATATTGACTTAAGATTTTGGCTCATGCATCAGGGCTCATGAGCAACAGGTCAAGAGAGAGGCTAACGTATCAAGTGGTTTTTTCCAACAATGTAGTTCATGCCCACAGTGCATTCATGGAAATCATAATCATCAAGAAATTAGAGAAGGGGGAAATGGATTTGAAGGGCCTAGGAATGGATTTGAATGTGATCTGCCTGGGGAGGTAAGTTAAACTTCTTCTGTCTTCTTCACTTCTAAGCAACCCACAGAGTACTTTGACATGGGGATTTTCCTCGCCTTTTTTGTGGTGGTCTCTCTCGTTTGCCTCATTCTTCTCGTCAAGATCAAACTGAAGCAGCGACGTAGTCAGGTAAGAGCTGCCTGAGCTCAGGATCAATAATGATACTTTCCTTGCACTCTGACTGCTGTCTCTGCCTCTTCTAGAGAGTTGGGTCAGTGCTGTTGAAGAGAGAGAAGGGTTCAGTGTCTGGAAAAACAATCTTTGTGAAAAGGGTATTATCCAAAGATGCACGGCATTGGAAAAGGTGTGGAACTTTACTAAGAGACCTGCTATACTCTGCTGTGCTTGATAAGTTGTTCCCTTGGGCTGGGAGTGCTACTGAAACTCTGTAGTTATTCCCAGGTGGAGGAGGGAGAGAAATTGATCGGAGTGGTGTTGATGAATTCTAACAAAGGATAGGTTTCAGAATAGCAGCCGTGTTAGTCTGTATCCTCAAAAAGAACAGGAGTCCTTGTGGCACCTTAGAGACTAACAAATTTATTTGAGTATAAGCTTTCGTGGGCTACAGCTCACTTCATCAGATGCATACAGTGGAACATATAGTAAGAAGTTATATATATACATACAGAGATTATGAAAAGGTGGAGTAAGAGGCTAATTAATTAAGATAAGCTATTATCAGCAGGAGAAAAAAACTTTTTAGTGATAATCAAGATGGCCCATTTAGACAGTTGACAAGAAGGTGTGAGGATACTTAACATGGGGAAATAGATTCAATATGTGTATTGACCCACACACTCCCAATCTCTCTTCAAACCCAAGTTAATGGTATCTAGTTTGCATATTAATTCAGGCTCAGCAGTTTCTCGTTGGAGTCCTTTTTTGAAGCTTTTCTGTTTCAAAATTTCCACCTTTAAATCTGTTACTGAGTGGCCAGAGAGGCTGAAGTGTTCTCCTACTGATTTTTGAATGTTATGATTCCTGATGTCAGATTTGTGTCCATTTATTTCTTTTGCGTAGAGGCTGTCCTGTTTGGCCAATGTACATGGCAGAGGGGCATTGCTGGCACATGATGGCATATATCACATTGGTAGGTGTGCAGGTGAACGAGCCCATGATGGCGTGGCTAATGTGGTTAGGTCCTATGATGGTGTTACTTGAATAAATATGTGGACAGAGTTGGCATCGGGCTTAGTTGCAAGGATAGGTTCCTGGGTTAGTGGTTCTGTTGTGTGGGGTGTGGTTGCTGGAGAGTATTTGCTTCTAGTTCGGGGGCTGTCTGTAAGCGAGGACTGGTCTGTCTCCCAAGATCTGAGAGAGTGAGGGATCATTTTTCAGGATAAGTTGTAGATCTTTGATGATGCACTGGAGAGGTTTTAGTTGGGGGCTGAAGGCGACAACTATTCGCGTTCTGTTATTTTCTTGGTTGGGCCTATCCTGTAGTTGGTGACGTCTGGGTACTCTTCTGGCTCTGTCAATCTGTTTTTTCATTTCAGCAGGTGGGTATTATAGTTTTAAGAATGTTTGATAGAGATCTTGTAGGTGTTTGTCTCTATCTGAGGTATTGGAGCAAATGTGGTTGTATCGTAGAGCTTGGCTGTAGACAATGGATCGTGTGGTGTGTCCTTGATGGAAGCTGGAGACATGCAAGTAAGAATAGCGGTCAGTAGGTTTCTGGTATAGGGTGGTTTTTATGTGACCATCGCTTATTAGCACAGCAGTGTCCAGGAAATGGACTGCTTGTGTGGATTGGTCTAGGCTGAGGTTGATGGTGGGATGGAAATTGTTGAACTTATGATGGAATTCCTCAAGGGCTTCTTTTCCATGGGTCCAGATGATGAAGATGTCATCAATGTAGCGCAAGTAGAGTAGGGGCGTTAGGGGACGAGAGCTAAGGAAGCGTTGTTCTAAGTCAGCCATAAAAATGTTGGCATACTGTGGGGTCATGTGGGTACCCATAGCAGTGCCGCTGACTTGAAGGTATATATTGTCCCCAAATGTGAAATAGTTGTGGGTAAGGACAAAGTCACAAAGTTCAGCCACCAGGTTTGCCGTGACATTATCGGGGATACTGTTCCTGATAGCTTGTAGTCTATCTTTGTGTGGAATGTTGGTGTAGAGGGCTTCTACATACATAGTGGCCAGAAGGGGTTTGGGGTGCAGGCTGCCCTGGGGCTGCAACATGGAGAGAGGGCCCCCCCCCCCAGCCCTTTCTTGCCGCGGCTGCTCCAGAGCTGGGGGAGAGGTGCCAGTCCCCCCGCCTGCGTGGCCCTTGATAGCCTGCTGTGCAGCTTAAAGGGAACTTAGGTCTGCACTGACCTATAAAAGAGTAGTCAAGTGTCAGGGGGTAGCCGTGTTAGTCTGTATAGACAAAAACAACAAGGAGTCCAGTGGCACCTTAAAGACTAACAGATTTATTTGAGCATAAGCTTTCGTGGGTAAACACCTCACTTCTTCAGATGCATGGAGTGAAAGTTACAGATGCAGACATAAATATACTGACACATGAAGAGAAGGGAGTTACCTCACAAGTGGAGAACCAGTGCTGACAGGGCCAGTTCGATCAGGGTGGATGTAGTCCACTCCCAACAGAAGATGAGACGGTGTCAATTCCAGGAGAGGCAAAGCTGCTTCTGTATGAGCCAGCCACTACCAGTCCCTATTCAAGCCCAAATTAATGGTGTTAAATTTGCAAATGAATTTTAGTTCTGCTGTTTCTCTTTGAAGTCTGTTTCTGAAGTTTTTTTGTTCAAGTACAGCTATTTTCAAATCTGTTATAGAATGTCCAGGACAATTGAAGTGTTCTCCCACTGGCTTTTGTGTGTTACCATTCCCGATGTCAGATTTGTGTCCATTTATTCTTTTACATAGGGACTGTCCGGTTTGGCCAATGTACAAGGCAGAGGGTCATTGCTGGCACATGATGGCATATATAACGTTAGTAGACATGCAGTTGAATGAGCCTCTGATGGTGTGGCTGATGTGGTGGGGTCCTCTGATGGTGTCACTAGAGTAGATATGGGAACAGAGTAGGCAACAAGGTTTGCTACAGGGATTGGTTCCTGGGTTAGTGTTTCTGTGGTGTGGTGTGTAGTTGCTGATGAGTATTTGCTTCAGGTTGGGGGGCTGTCTGTAAGCGGGGACTGGCCTGTCTCCCAAAGTCTGTGAGAGTGAGGGATCGTTTTCCAGGATAGGTTGTAGATCGTTGACATGTGCAGTCGAGGTTTTAGCTGGGGGCTGTACGTGATGGCCAGTGGTGTTGTTTTCCTTATTTTCTGTTATTTTCCTTGTGGGGCCTGTCCTGTAGTAGGTGATTTCTGGGTACCTGTCTCGCTCTGTCAATCTGTTTCCTCACTTCCCCAGGTGGGTATTGAAGTTTTAAGAATGCTTGATAAAGATCTTGTAGGTGTTTGTCTCTGTCTGAGGGATTGGAGCAAATTCGGTTGTATCTTAGGGCTTGGCTGTAGACAATGGATCGTGTGATGTGTCCTGGATGGAAGCTGGAGGCATGTAGGTAAGTATAGCAGTCAGTAGGTTTCCAGTATAGGGTGGTGTTTGTGACCATCACTTATTTGCACTGTAGTGTCCAGGAAGTGGATCTCTTGTGTGGACTGGTCCAGGCAGAGGTTGATGGTGGGATGGAAATTGTTGAAATCCAGGTGGAATTCTTCAAGGGCCTCCTTCCCGTGGGTACATATGATGAAGATGTCATCAATATAGCGCAAGTAGAGGAGGGGCGCTAGGGGACGAGAGCTGAGGAAGCGTTGCTCTAAGTCAGCCATAAAAATATTGGCATACTGTGGGGCCATGCGGGTACCCATAGCAGTGCCAGTGACTTGAAGGTATAAGTTGTCTCCAAATCTGAAATGGTTGTGGGTGAGGACAAAGTCACAAAGGTCAGCCACCAGCTGTGCCGTGGCCTCATCAGGGATACTGTTCTTGACAGCTTGTAGTCCATCCTCATGTGGAATATTGATATAAAGAGCTTCTGCATCCATGGTGGCCAGGATGGTGTTTTCAGGAAGATCACCAATGCATTGTAGTTTCCTCAGAAAGTCAGTGGAGTCTCGAAGATAGCTAGGAGTGCTGGTAGTGTAGGGTCTGAGGAGAGAGTCCAAATAGCCAGATAATCCTGCTGTAAGAGTGCCGATGCCTGAGATGATGGGGCATCCAGGTTTCCAGGTTTATGGATCTTGGGTAGCAGTTAGGCCAATGTATATGGCAGAGGGGCATTGCTGGAACATGATGGCATATATCACATTAGTAGACATGCAGGTGAATGAGCATCTGAAGAAGTGAGGTTTTTACCCACAAAAGCTTGTGCTCAAATAAATCTATTAGTCTTTAAGGTGCCATCGGAGTCCTTGTTGTTCCTATAAAAGAGTATATCCCATATTGGGTCATAGATTCAGAGATTTAAAAGCCATAAGGAACCATATGATCATCTAGTACAACTTCCTGCACAACACAGACCATTGAATTTTACCCATTAATTCCTGTGTCAAGGCTGTATCATCTGGCTGAGCTAAAGCAAGAAAGACATTTAGAAAGACATTCAGTCTTGATTTAAATATTTCACATGATGGAGAATCCACCACATCCCTTAAGTTGTTCTAATGGTAATTACCCTCACAGTTAAATTCAGACTGGAAATAAGGTACAAATTTGTTTTCTAGCTTCAGCTTCCAGCCATTGGATCCTGTTATGCCTTTGAATGTGAGATTAAAAAGTCCTGTACTATCTAAAATTTTCTCCCCATGTAAGTGCTTATAAATCGCAATCATGTCACCTCTTATCTTCTCTTGGGTCAACCAAACAGACTGATCTTCTTACCTTCTCACTGTCTAAGGCAGATTTTCCAGACCTCAGATCATTCTTGAAACTCTTTTCTGACCACTTTCCAGTTTTTCAACATCCTTTTTGAAAGGTGGATCCGGATCCGGGCGCAGTTTTCAGTAATGGTTTCACCAATTCCATATACTCAGGTGGTACCACCTACCTGCTCCTAGTCATCATTCCTCTGCTTTTATACATGCAGAGATCATCTTCGCTCTCTTAGCCACTGCATCACACGAATGCAGTTCAATTGGTTGTCCATTTGACCCCTAAGTTCTTCTCAGAACCCGTGCTTTCCAAAATACATTCTTCCATCCTGTGTGTGTAACCTACATTATTTCTTCTTAGATGTGTGAGCTTGTATTTGCTGAATTACAGCACACGTACTTTGAATAAAGCTATGTTTTAGTCACAGATAATTTTTAGTAAAAGTCATGGACAGGTCATGGGCAGTAAACAAAAATTCATGGCCCATGACTTGTACTATATACCCCTAATTAAAACTTGGACTGGGGGGCCACAGGTGCTTTGGGGTGGGGTGTGCAGTCTGAAACCCCTGCTGGTGGTGGGGTAGGAGGGTTGGCAGGGCTGGCAGGCCTCCCTACTCGGCTCCGCGGAAGTGGCCGGCATGTCCCTGCCAGCTCCTAGAGGGAGTGAAGGCTAAGGGGCTCCATGCGCTGCCCCTGCCATGAGCGATGGCTTCGCAGCTCCCATTGGCCAGGAACTGCAGCCAGTGGGAGTTGTGGAGGTTGGGTGCCTACAGGCAGGGGCAGCATGCAGAGCTGCTCCACCTAGGAGCTGCAGACACATACCGGTCACTTCCGGGAAGCCCTCCTGAGGTAAGCGCCGCCATGCACCCCAGCCCCGTACCCCCTCCCACACCCAAACTACCGCTGCTGGGGGTGGGAGGGGGTGGTAGCATGAGACTGCCCCAGCTCTGGAGCCAGCCGCACCGGCCGCTGCAGAGGTCACAGAAACTCATGGAATCTGTGACTTTCATGACAGACACACAGCCTTAACTTTGAATTGAGCCCAGCTTACCAAAGAATTGAGACCGCTGGGTCTAAATGGCCTGTGTCTGTCTGTCTTTTAATAGATGCTGTATAACATCTTACCTAGTTACTGTCGAACTAGAAAATATTTTGTCATTGGTCTTTTTCTCCAAATAGAGAACAAAAGTATGTCTTGAATACTTGCCTTTTCTGATTGATTGACAATTTTACCATTTCTAGTAACAGGCTTATTACTGGGATTTTTTCCCCGTTTCATTATTCCTTTTTATTGTCCTTAACCCTACTATCGAAAGACTTTTCCTTGGCACTTTTGACTTCTTTATCAATTTCTATTTTATAGTTTTTGCTATCAATTTCCTCATTTGCTAAATATATTTTTTTGTTTTGTAGTGGTGCTTCCATTCCTCTTTTTAGTCAGAATGGCTTTTTAATTGAGGAAGTCTTCTTTTGTGATTGTAGAACTGTAGGTGTTTTGGGGATCTAGCAAAATAAAATATTCTTAAACAATTCCAATTATCACTCACATTTTTCTGTTTAAATTTTTCCTCTCAATCAGTTTTACTCATTTTCTTTTCAGGTTTGGAAAACTACTTCTCGTCAAGTGTTGTGTGTGGAGCGTGCTCGCACACGCATGGGTGTTGTTTGGTTGGTTTTTTGTTTTTGTGTTTTAACTGGTTAGGACTGTGTTCTGTTTGCACAGAGAATGTTTAGCTCAGTGATAAGTTGATCACCCACACTCCTCCCTGTAGTGCATTTCATTTCCAAGGTGTCTTCCACATAGAGAGAAGCCTAATCAGGATCTGCTTAGCTTATGAGACTTGACACCCATCTCAGCCTGAGGGGATATCGTTACAGATGTTAATGGTTAGGAACAGCATTATTTTTCTGCTATTCCAATTGCCTCAATCCCTCAAGCAGCAACGTTGTGTTTTATATTGTAGAATTCCATGAACAGGCTTGCAGTGCAGGCACTGGAAAAGATGGAAACCAGGAAGTTCAAGTCCAAAAGTAAGGGTCACCGTGAGGGAAGCTGTGGAGCTCTGGACACACTAAGCAGCAGTTCAACATCTGACTGTGCCATCTGCCTGGAGAAATACATTGATGGGGAGGTAAAAGAAAGCAGTTTCTCTAATCTGGTTGGTTGATGATGCTGGGCCAGTTTTGGCACAATTGTCACCAGATGTGTATTTGGTGGCACATGAACCAAGGGTGGGGATCAGTGGGTAGGAGGTGTGGCAGTGTTGATTGCATCCTGTTGAAAGTGTAGGGAGGGCTTCCTCTCCAAAACTGGATCTGATAGACCAGGGATAGTTAATAGGTGCACCATGGGCCAAATGCAGACTGCCAGATGCTTTTGAGTGGACCCCGAAATCTCTTTATTTACTTATCATTATTGTTATTTTTTATTATTATTTTCTCTGGTGTCTGGACTGTGACTATACCTTGACCAAGAAATTTGGACCTCAACAATAAATAAGTACTGGATCACCCTGATTTCAAGAACTATGTCAGCAATTACACTTTGTATGAGTGGATCATCTCATGGCTCCGTAGACCGATTCAGGAAGAACAACACTGACCGCACTGACCAGAGTCATTTGTCTATTTGTGTTGATTGAGCTTCATGTTTCCGTACATGACGCTGTGCTCCCAGCTATGCAATGCAGTTCTTATCAAAGTCATGGACAGCCACCCTGACAGCCTGGCACCATGTAATGCTCAAAGATAGAGTCAGAAATATTTCTTGGGTGCAGATTTTGTTTGAGTATCTTTAGAAGTGTTTCATCTGCACTCCGTGCCTGTAGTTGCTCGATCTTAATTCATATGTAGAATTTGTTTTGATAAATGGGTCTCAGGCATACAAATTACATAACCAGTCCATCTCAGCTGGTAACAAATCAAAATCAAATGACCTTCAATATCAGCCGAACCAGCTTGCACTAAGACTTCTGTGTGGGACACCTGGTCCTGCTATTTGGTGCCCAGCAGTCATTGTAGGTGTCACAAGTGGAAACTTCCAAGCTTTTTAATGTGCCATTGATAACAGATCCATGTTTCATACCCATAGAGCAATATCATGAAGACAACAGCGTTATAGATTTAGATTTGCATCTAAATAGATTTCATGTTGCTTCCAGATTCAATGATGGAAGGCAACCATATGCTGCACTGGCTTTCTTAATTCACACATCCACTCTGTGATTGATTTGCACTTGATTGTTTAACATGCTGCCAAGATAAGTAAACTGTTTGGCAGCTTAGAGTGTGGTATCTTCCAAGCTTACTGATGGCTCTTGGGAAAGTTGTTGAGGAGCTGGCTGGTACATAGCTTCAGTTTCTGTTCGGCTGATGGTAAGGCCAATGTACAAGCAGCCTCAGCAAAGCAGTTTGTACAATCTTGCAGTGCTGCGTCAGAATGTTCTGTCAAAGGCAAAGTCATTGCCAGAGAGCAGTAAATTGTTGCTCTAGGAACTGCACTCTTGATGTGTGGGCTGCTTTTAAAGAGTGAGATATGAAATAAGATCAGGATGTAAGGATGTTTTCAGATCCATAGGTTACTTTACAAATCTAGCAAAGCGGAAACCACTGCTAATTTCAGAGTTCCCATCCAAGGAACAGGGTTATTTCAGAATAGGTACAAAGTGCCACGCCCCAGTAATCAGTTGACGATGGCCAGCCAATGAACTGACTGAGTATATACAGAGATGGCTGTACACAAACAAAGGCGAAGACTTAAGTCTGAGTACATTCTTTTATACCCAAGATGAGACCTTGTATCAAACGCCCCTCTCCTCTGATCTGATGTTTTATGACCAAATACAAGATTATGCCTTACACTCTAAATTGTATAATGTATCTATTTATTAGCAGTAACAAAACTATCAATGTTTGACAGAGACTTTGGGGACTTCCTGTGTTTACCTTGATTATATTTGGCTGGGTCATCATAATCTCTCATTCTTACTTCATCCTTGGAACCTCATACCCAAATCAGAGGCATTCTAAGGAGTGAAATAACAGGATACTTACTAAGCCAAAAACCTTGTTTTGCATTTTTTCCCAAAAAAGGATCATTTAAAGATCTGATGAACCACACTAAACTAGGCCTACATTTATATTGATTATGCATTTGCTTATATATATTACTAGCTAATATGTGATACATGTGTATGTGTGATCCATTAAGGTCACTTAGGCCTTTACCATTTACCATGGCCTTTACCATTTTACATGAAGTAGGTTCACCGAATCATCGTCTCACCTCCTTACAGAGGAAATACCTTGGAAGAAGCTCAAAGTTGCAGAAAATGACTTCTAACTTCTCAGCCTCCATCCATGTTAGTGCCATAGTGAAAAGTGCCTGGCTGCCGTCTCCTCTATGACAACACTCAGGAACTAAGGAAGGGAATGAATCAAAGAGCGTGGCCCAAAGGAAAGGGGCAATCTAAAATCTCAGCGTGAAGTTTGAAGACACTGGATAAATAAAAAGGAGACACTGCCTTTTTTAAAATTTCCTCCCCTCAAATAAAAAATACAACCTTTGTCAGACATAAAAAAATAAAATAACTGCTACAGTAATTCAACACTGCACGTGAACAACAGTGAATGTGGCCATAGGGAACCCTGCCAGAAAGAGCACAAAACTAGCTAGAACTGTTGGGTGCTGCTGGAGGTAGATTAGAGGTTTTAGAGGAAAGAGTAGCTTGAGAGGAGGACAGGATGCAACAGGGAAAGAAGCTTAACAGCGTTGCTGAGCATGGAGATGCTCACCATGTGAATCAGCATGAACTCTCTCGAGCAACTATGCTCTTAGTTATTTGTTAACGCAGGTTGGTGGCTTTTCCTCCCCTCTTCCAGTAAGAGGCTGGGAATTGACCTGATCTGTACCTAAGCCAGAAGAACTAGGTGTGGAGTGTGAGTATTCATGCCTTTTAGGAGGAATCAATTAATTTTCTTCTTTCTCCCCAACAGGAGTTGCGGGTGATTCCCTGCACTCACAGATTCCACAAAAAATGTGTGGATCCCTGGCTGCTGCAGCATCATACCTGCCCTCACTGCCGCCATAACATTATAGGTAAGTCTTGCCCCTCAAATGCACACACCCAGGTAGGGCCATTTCTGGACTTCTCAGCTCTCTGGATGGAGGGGAAATTGTGTGTATTTCTGTACACTCCTAGGAAAATCCCTTTGGTGATTGGTCTGTATTGTAATACAATCCTGGGACTTCCTTCAAGGATGCCAGCCGATAACAGAGGTCAATTAAAGAAGTTTCTTTGAGAGTGACCCCATGTCCTAAAACAGCCAGGACACTATCCTACCATATCTCTTATCCTGGGTACATCCACCAGAGGGCAGCATCTATCAGTCTGTAGAAAAGAAGCTCAAATAAAATTCACCCAAGTTCACTGTATTTATATGGGTAAATATCAAGAAAAGCAAATAAATTAAAAGCAGCTGGTATGTGGGAGGGAGTTGTAAAATTCCTAGATTTCTCTGTGCAGCAACATAGAATGTGGTTCTTTCATTGACTTTAAAACATTTTCCATTTAAATAATTTGTAAGAAGAATGGAAAAAGGTGGGCAGAGATCAGTGTTCCTAACCCAGAGGGCTGGGAATGCTGAATAGGCAGCATATTGGCTTATGCAGAGGAAGGAGCTGAAGTCACTGCTCTTCCTTCCCTGGCCAATAGACCCAGGTGTTTCTGGGTAAGTGTGCTTGTGTTGATTGTGTCACTTCTCTGGAGCAGGCTGGCACTTTTACTCACTGTTGCAGTCTGCCAGGTAACAAACCCTCAGCAGAGTGGCTGCATTTCCAGGACACACTGTTTGCTTTTCTCCCCATCCAGAACAAAAGAAGGGAAACCCAGGTCCGGTATGTTTGGAATCCACGAACCCAGTGCGCAGCCGGCAGCAGAGGGTGATCCTGCCCGTTCATTATCCTGGCCGGGTGCACAGGACCAGCCAGATAACTGCATATCCCACCCGGACTAGCATGGACCCCCATGGAAATCCCATCACGGTGCTTACAGTGGACCGGCATGGTGAGCAGAGCCTGTACCCAGCACAGTCCCCTACTTACATCCAAAGTTACCAGCCTGTTCACTTGGATCATGCCTTGAACACACATCGCTGTGGCCTGGAGCACAGAGCTTATTCTCCAGCTCATACCTTCCGCAGGCCCAAGTTCAATGGACGTAACTTCTCCAGAGCAGCTTGTTTTCCCCAGTATGAGACCATGTACCAGCACTACTACTTCCAAGGCCTTAGCTACCCTGAGCAAGATGGACAGCCTCCAGCTGGCATTGCCTCAAAGGGTCCCTCCCGTGCCTTCCAGCCTGGTGGCAGCATGCTGTTCCCTCCTGTGGTACATGTGATGCCCTCCTCCCGCTTGGAGAGTGGCAGCAGCTCCAGTTTCAGCTGCTATCATGGTCACCGCTCAGTGTGCAGTGGTTACCTAGCTGACTGCCCGGGCAGTGACAGCAGCAGCAGCAGTTCTGGCCAGTGCCACTGCTCCTCCAGTGATTCCATGGTTGACTGTACAGAGGTCAGCAACCAGGGGGTCTATGGGAGCTGCTCCACCTTCCGTAGTTCTCTGAGCAGTGACTATGACCCTTATATTTACCGCAGCAAGAGCCCCTGCCGAGTGGGGGATGCTGGTGGCACAAACCGAGGGGCGATTGTTCTCCTAGAGGGCCCCCATCAGGACGAGATTCTGGCACGTGGGCACGCTCTGCTGGGTGCTGACTGTCGGCCTGTGCCAGCTTCTTCCTCAGGGGACCAGCTTTCCAGCTGCAGCATGGAGATGAACTACAGCAGTAATTCCTCGCTAGAGCACAGGGATTCAAATGGCACTACCTCAGAGGGAGGCCTCGAGGCTACTCCCAGTGCTGCCTTGGATGTTCAAAGGAACTGGCATGGTCCAGAAGTAGCAGGACCTCTGATGGAACAAGCATGTGCTTGCTGCTTTGAGCTCCAGCACGCTGCCCTGGAGCCCAGCAGTGGGGCAACAGACTGCGGCGCACTCTTCTTGGGCTCCCCACTTTGGGGAGGGTGTGGCCCGGGGCTGGAACAGCAGCCAGGTAGTTCCCAAGGCTTGTATAGTGTTAACTCAGACCACTTGCATAGGACAGATGGGGTGAAATATGAGGGCTTGCCCTGCTGCTTCTATGAAGAGAAGCAGGTTGGCTGTGGTGGCACCGGTAGCAGTGGGGGTGGTGGCTGCTACACAGAGGACTGTGCAGTGAGTGTACAGTACACACTTCATGATGAGGCCTTGCCAAGCTGCTATAGGGGGGTGCATGACATAGGTCAGCGCATCCCTATCATTCCTGAGGACAGAGACTGTGAGCTAGTCCTGCCGTTAGAGTGTCGGGGGACCCATGGAGGCTGTAGTTCCTGGGATGGGACGCCTGAAATGGATGCTCATCTACACCACCAAGGTCTAGGAGAGCTGCAGGAGGAGAGGGAGGTGTGCTACCGGGCAATGTCCTTTCTGCAGCAGAACTGCTCTCGGGACGAAGAAACAAGGATGCTCTTTCACAACCCCACTCCGAGCTCCCAGGAGGCAGCGGCAACCACAAAGGCTGCAGGTAAGAGTCAGACTTGGTTTTTCTCCAGCACCTTTCAGTCTCAGAGTATGGTGAAGAGAGCACCAGGTCAGCTGCACTAGTGTTCACAGAGATGGTCCACACATCATGGAAGTTACAGCTCACTCTCTGGAGAAGGGAAACTGCTCATCGTTACTGCCTATATTAGCCTCTTCTCCTCAGGAAATGTCCTCCATTGCTCCCCTGCTGCAGTTTCATTGTTGGGAGTGCTATGCGCCATCTAGCCGTGCTCATAGCAGCTCTAGACACCAATGGTGAAAACACAAGTGGCTGCTGGCACCTAATCTAAACTAGGGCTACAACCATTGCCACAGCCAGTGGAGCTGAAGCAGTGGGAAACTCAGGAAAAATGGTCAGTGCAGAAAAGGCCAAAGTGCCATGCGTGGGGTAGGTGAGGAGACTGGTGACCTTGAGGAGGATGAAAAGGAATAATGGAAAGTCTGGAATAGCCTCAGAGGAGAGTGCATGAAATGGGAGGGAGGTGCAGGCCCCCCCGATGCCTCGAAGTGTTTGTGGGAGCGAGTCTGGACTGGTGACAAAGTAATTAGTGGCAGAGGAAGAATCACCACTTGGGCTTCTCCTTCCCCAGGCCTTTTTCTTGGATGTGCCTGCGTTATGTCTAATAATTCTTTTATTCCTTCAGGCTCTGGATCTCATCCCCTGGAAAGAAGCCAAATGGGCGACTAGACCTGGCCAGACTGCCACAGATAGACAAGGAGAGCTTTTTATGGAGATTCCAAATGATGCTGGACTTTCTTTCAAACTTTTTTAGCTTTGACAAACACACAAAAGTGGTAATGTAGAGAAGCCCCTCCCGCACCCCAGCTGGACTGAGCCTCCCCTCCATTCCTTGCCAGCTTGATGCATCCTTCAGTCCTGGGTTTGTGTAAGTGAACAAAGCCCACGTGGAGCAGCTCTGAGCTCTAGTGCCATTTTTATACTAGTGACAAAAAGTGTTCTGTAAATATATATTTTTTTAAAACCATTGTGCCAGCTCTTACTGGCAGGTAACACTGCTGCATTAAACAAGACACCGCATGTATAGATATTAGGGCTGTCAATTAATCATAGTTAACTCATGCGATTAACTCAAAAAAAAAATTAATCGTGATTAAAAAAATTAATCGTGATTAATAGCAGTTTTAATCACACTATTAAACAATAGAATACCAATTGAAATTTATTAAATATTTTTGGATGTTTTTCTACATTTTCAAATATATTGATTTCAAAGTGTACGGTCTTCACTTTATATTTATTTTTATTACAAATATTTTCACTGTAAAAAACACAAGAAATACCTCATACAAATATTGTAATGCAAGCTCTTTATTTTGAAAGTGCAACTTACAAATGTAGATTTTTGTTGTTGTTACATAACTGCACTCAAAAACAAAACAATGCAAAACTTTAGAGCCTACAAGTCCACTCATTCCTACTTCTTGTTCAGCCAGTTGCTCAGACAAACAAGTTTGTTTACATTTACAGGAGATAATGCTGCCCACTTCTTATTTACAATGTCACCAGAAAGTGAGAAAAGGAGTTCGCATGGGACTTTTGTAGCCGGCATTGCAAGGTATTTATGTGCCAGATATGCTAAACATTCGTATGCCCCTTCGTGCTTCGGCCACAATTCTAGAGGACATGCTTCCATGCTCATGATGATGCTCATTTAAAAAAGGAAAAAAGTGTTAATTAAATTTGTGCCTGAACTCTTTGAGGGAGAATTGTATGTCTCCAGCTCTGTTTTACCCTTATTCTGCCATATTTTTCATGTTCTAGTAGTCTTGGATGATGACTCAGCACATGTTCATTTTAAGAACACTTTCACTGCAGATTTGACAAAATGCAAAGAAGGTAGCAATGTGAGATTTCTAAAGATAGCTACAGCACTCGACCCAAGGTTTAAGAATCTGAAGTGTCTTCCAAAATCTGAGAGGGATGAGCATATGGAACACGTTTTCAGAAGGCTTAAAAGAGCAACACTCCAATGAGGAAACTACAGAACCCAAAGCACCAAAAAAGAAAATCAACCTTCTGCTGGTGGCATCTGACTCGGATTATGAAAATGAAAATGCGTCAGTCCGCACTGCTTTGTGTTGTTATGAAGCAGAATCCATCATCAGCGTGGAGGCATGCCCCCTGGAATGGTGGTTGAAGCATGAATGAACATATGAATCTTTAGCGCATCTGGCATGTAAATATCTTGTGACGCCGGCTACAACAGTGCCATGCAAACACCGGTTCTCACTTTCCAGTGATACTGTAAACAAGAAGTGTTAGACCCGCAATAGAGGTCTCCCTATGGGATGAGGAGCAGGCAGATACTGGACACTGTGTTGGTGTATAATACTCTAAATGCTCTTTATTGATTACAAAACAAACCTTACTCACTCCACATTCACACCCCAAACATACTCTACCAGAGTCCAAAGGTCAGAAAGGTCCCAATAGCTAGTCAAGTTTCCTTCCAACCATAAGATCATAAAATGCGGGGAGCCAGTGAAAACCACATCTATATCCACACAGGGCTCTGGATCAATAACGACTCCAATTTGCAGAAATCATAGGCAACCATTTATAGTCCATTCCATCGCATCATCAGTTCTTTGCCTTTGTTTACTAGGCCTTCTACCCACACAATTCCAAAGAGACAATCCTGGATGGGCAGCCATGATCTAAGGCGTGCCCTTTCCTCCAATTCTTATGCAATTGTATATCAGTCCAGCTGGTGGTGTTTCCTTTTCTGCTGATTCTCCATATTTTTCTTGGAACATAACAAGATTGTTTTTGCACAAATAGTTCTAATAGTTCTTGACCTTAAGTTCTTGCTTCAGTTGCCAGCTTGCAACACATGTATTCATGTCAAGCACACGTCATTCATACCAGGTCTCAATGACCAATAACATATTACATTGATATATGAATCATAATATATATAGATAACAGAACAGAAGCAGGCAGCATTATCTCCTGTAAATATAAACAAACTTGTTTGTCTGAGTGATTGGATGAACAAGAACTAGGACTGTGCAGACTTGGAGGGTTTTAAAGTTTTACATTGTTTTATTTTTGAATGCAGGATTTTTTGTTTTGGAGGCTCTAAAGTTTTACATTGTTTTATTTTTGAATGCAGGATTTTTTGTACATAATTCTACATTTGTAAGTTCAACTTTCATGATAGAGATTGCACTACAGTACTTGTATTAGGTGAATTGAAAAATATTATTGTTTTTTACTGTGAAAATATTTGTAATCAAAAATAAATATAAAGTGAGACTGTACACTTTGTATTCTGTGTTGTAATTGAAATCAATATATTTGAAAATGTAAAAAACATCCAAAAATATTTAAATTATATTGTATTCTATTACTGTTTAACAGTGCGATTAATCATGATTAATTTTTTTAATCGCTTACAGCCCTAATAGATACTGATCTCTCCCTAAGCAAGTGCAGGCCTTTGATGAGCTCAGGGCTATACCTGCCTTAGAAAACAGGTCAGCACCTTGAGTCAAAACTAGTCTAGGTGGATATAAATGATGAATCAATTCTTGGGTGCTGCCCTGTCCTCCTTGTGGCAAATCTCAGTGGCAAGCAGGTTTAAGAATCTTTAAGGGGTGTGTGGAAGATTGGGATACGGAAGTATTTTTGCCCCCTTCTGACATTTCTCTAACAGCTTGGCTGCTAGGGGGTCTGCAGACAAGGTCTGCTTTCCTGAAGGAGTGTAGATGGGAGCTCATGTGGAATGCTTCAGCTACCACCTGCTGAAAAAGAAGTTAGGTCCTTTTGCGCCTTGAGGCCTGTGGAGCAATAGGGAACAAGTGACTTTCTACCACATCGAAAGGCTGAGGGGATAACTGCTTCCCACAGAGAACCCCAGCAATCCTACAGCAGTTCTTCAGGAGAAACTGCAGCAAGAGAAACTGGCACATGTAGTGATGCATTGCTTGTATGATGTCTGTGGCTTGTTTTAGTTCAACTGGGGAAACACTTGGATGGGGGTTACTGTATTGTTTCCTTGGAGACTGCACATGGGTAATAATAGAATTAGTGCTTTCCATCAACTAGCACACCTTACATGCATGTACATGCATGGGGTTTTGGTGCCCAGAGTAAGGACTGGGTAAACTTGCTTTAGCCATTGTCTCTTTCTTTGCTGGAAGAGATATGGTTGATGTAGCTTCCATAGTGCAGTCTATGTTACAGGATTCTTTGGCCAGTCCAGCCTTGCCTGTGTTCATGCCTTTGCGTACAGAGAGCACTGCATACCCCTTAAGTTTGGGCACATAGATCTGTTCCTGTTTTTCTTGTAGTGGGGAATTTTTGTTATCATGAGATAATGTAAAAATTTTTGGATGTAAAAAACATCCAAAAATATTTAAATTATATTGTATTCTATTACTGTTTAACAGTGCGATTAATCATGATTAATTTTTTTAATCGCTTACAGCCCTAATAGATACTGATCTCTCCCTAAGCAAGTGCAGGCCTTTGATGAGCTCAGGGCTATACCTGCCTTAGAAAACAGGTCAGCACCTTGAGTCAAAACTAGTCTAGGTGGATATAAATGATGAATCAATTCTTGGGTGCTGCCCTGTCCTCCTTGTGGCAAATCTCAGTGGCAAGCAGGTTTAAGAATCTTTAAGGGGTGTGTGGAAGATTGGGATACGGAAGTATTTTTGCCCCCTTCTGACATTTCTCTAACAGCTTGGCTGCTAGGGGGTCTGCAGACAAGGTCTGCTTTCCTGAAGGAGTGTAGATGGGAGCTCATGTGGAATGCTTCAGCTACCACCTGCTGAAAAAGAAGTTAGGTCCTTTTGCGCCTTGAGGCCTGTGGAGCAATAGGGAACAAGTGACTTTCTACCACATCGAAAGGCTGAGGGGATAACTGCTTCCCACAGAGAACCCCAGCAATCCTACAGCAGTTCTTCAGGAGAAACTGCAGCAAGAGAAACTGGCACATGTAGTGATGCATTGCTTGTATGATGTCTGTGGCTTGTTTTAGTTCAACTGGGGAAACACTTGGATGGGGGTTACTGTATTGTTTCCTTGGAGACTGCACATGGGTAATAATAGAATTAGTGCTTTCCATCAACTAGCACACCTTACATGCATGTACATGCATGGGGTTTTGGTGCCCAGAGTAAGGACTGGGTAAACTTGCTTTAGCCATTGTCTCTTTCTTTGCTGGAAGAGATATGGTTGATGTAGCTTCCATAGTGCAGTCTATGTTACAGGATTCTTTGGCCAGTCCAGCCTTGCCTGTGTTCATGCCTTTGCGTACAGAGAGCACTGCATACCCCTTAAGTTTGGGCACATAGATCTGTTCCTGTTTTTCTTGTAGTGGGGAATTTTTGTTATCATGAGATAATGTGCGCCATCCCTTCCAATAGCAATCGTTTCCTGTGGAAACTGTGGCTTCTGGATAAGAGGCCATGGCTGTCATGCTGTGTGACTGAGAACACAGTATGCACTTTTCTGTCTGGTGTACTCACACAGCAGGGATTCTCTTAAAGAGATCCTTACTAGTTTGTACCCACAATGTAGGTCTTGTAAGATATGATTGGAAATCTATTCATTACATTAAAAATAAAAAAGTAGTGTGAAGTTTATTTTTACTGAAACATTGCCTGTGTGGGACAGCGTTGGGCTATTCATGGGAACCAGGAAAAGGATTCCAGTCAGTCTTGATGGATGTCCTGGATGAATGAATGAAAAAACCAACAGAGCTTAAATAATAAAAAATAATTTGGATTTTTACATTTCTTTTCACTTCTAATACTCTACAGTTTTTGAAAAAAAAAACACTAGGAAGGATAAATATATTTAAAGGAACCCTGCGTCTCTCTCTAAATGAGTAACCATGAGTGTAGCTTTTCAGAGATTTGGTGTATCTTACAGCAAGATACAGGAGCTGTACTATAAAATTGAAAACCATTACAATAAACATATTTCCTGTGTATAAAGATGCAGAAACCAAGCAATATCTTCTCTGAGTACCAGTGACATATAGTGTGTTTGTGGGAAGCTGTGGGATTTTATCAAATTTTCCACTTTGAATACACTCACCGTCCCCAACCCTCAAAGAAATGCACTAGAGGAGGTATGGTTATGATCTTGTATTTACACATCTTGGGCATGCTGAGAACCACCAAAAATTTTGGCCACTCAAGATACTTGTAACACTGTAACTAGCATAGGCTGAGGTATGGTAAAAAGGGTGTAAAATGTCTGTCTGAATGTTTTGGCTGTGTTCCCATCTACATGGGTATGGTCTTACTCAGAATGCCTAGAAATGCCACTCCCTCCCTGCAAGCCATTTTGTAGAGATACATTCTCTTTAGTTCCCATTTCTGACCTTGTTACCTTCTGCATTTGCTCATTTTCCCTGCTGAAAGCCCATTGGGACTAATGTGTCTGCAATGACACACAGGCTGATTAGCCACAATAGATACTATTTTAAAACAAAAATGCCTTTCTATTGCTTAAATAAACTGTTGCCGTTGTGTTGGGCTCAGGAGGCACTATTTAAAATGTTTAATTAAAATTTATTCTGTAGCACTTAAAAATGGTTTTGTATAAACTTTGGTGTAAAGATTTGTAATAATATAGTCAAAGGGCTCTTTCTCCATTACCATTTTTTTACTGTTTTAAAGGCTAGGAAACAACTTGTATATATTCTGTATATGTATAGCAGCACATTTCATTTATGGAAATATGTTCTCAGAATATTTATTTACTAATATATTTATCTTAAGCCATGTCTTATGTTGAAAGTGTGTGACATTATTGGAGTAATCATTGAAAATCACTAACATGAGGCCCTGTAAATACATGATAATTGCACACAAAGATTTTACAATATTTGCCGACCAAAAAATGATTTAAAGCAAGTCGTAGTTCTCTACAGTTTTGTAACAAAGTGTACAAATGTCTGTTAAAAAAAACAAAACAAAATACAGTTTTATCAAGTATATTTTGAAAGTTGTCGTGTTTTGTGGGGAAAGAAGCTGATCAGTATTGTGCCGCTAAAGAAAATCCTGGGGGCCTGCAGGTGAAATACTTGAAAATAAACTAAGCTTGCACAGGCCTCTTGTGAAAGTTCTACTTGACCCATGTGAAGACTGGTTTAGTAGTACAACATTTAGAAGTATATCTCTCAGTAGAAGTGTGTGTAAATGCCTCTTTCCAAGCTGCCCATCCACCATTAAACTCGCCTAACCAAAATTCTTTCTTAGACTCACTTTTCATGATGTCCATGTGAAGTGACCTGATCATAACGACTATGACCTATTGTAAGTGAATAAAAACTATTTTAATTGGACCACCAGGATGTACATATGACTAGAGAGCAAAAGTGATCTTTTCAACCTTCCTTCCTCTAGCCCTTCCTCACTATTTGGTGCCCCTATTCATGTGCCTTGAGGCAAGAACTGTCAGTCTACCTTTACTGTAAAGTGCCTAGCGTATTTTTGCGTACTCTAAAATAGTAGTTAATGTTTAGCCCTGGCACACACTTACCCACAGTATAAAGCCAACTTACAATATGTCAATACACTGAAAACAGAGCAGCTATTCCAAAATTAAACTAAAAATAAAAGCTAAAATGTGTTTTCAGTGTATCTGTCCTGGAAACATTCACTGACTTCTGATATTTTCCAGCTCCTTTTTGTTGATTTTTCCTCCTTGTCTCACTATCTACATAAAAATTAGGTTAAAACAGTCTTAAATTAGCTATACTGGACCATGATCAAAGGACAATGATAATCTTGGCGATAAAGGGAGAGAGACATGTTAGGCCTGATCTTTGCCAGACTTTAACTGTTTGGGCTGAAGTTTTCAATGCAAAGTGTTTGCCTCAACCTAAATTTATTTTGGAAAACTTCAGCCAGAACAGTTCCAACATTTTCAAGAAAAAAGGCCAGTGAAAAATACATTTTTCCCATGTTAAAAAAATTCTTGCGATTCCCCAGACAACTGAAGGAAAGGGCGAGACATATGCCTTTGGAGGTAAACTCCTAATACCATCCTCTCCAAAAACTTAAGCTCAGTCTTGAAACAAGTTAGGGTTTTTTGCCTCCACAACTCCCTTTGGAAGGCTGTTCCAGAATCTTCATCTAATTTCAAGGCTAAACTTGCTGATGGCCAATTTATATCCATTTGTTCTGGTGCCAGGGAGACTTTGGAGAAATTGGCCTACAGTCATAGTCTATGCTCTCCCTCAGAGTCTGGGTTTCTGCCCTTAACCAACAAGCGGCCCAGTCTGTTAATTTCTGTACAAATGCAGAGGGCTATAATCCCCCAGTCCATCTTCCTGCTCTAAATTTCTGGTCGTATTTTTCTATGTACAGGCCCATCCCATCCAAAATGGCTGCCTTAATCACATCATAGTCTTTGCAGGCATATTATTGAGAGTCACATATGCTCAATGTGCTTCCCCAGTTAAGCAGGGTGCCAGCCCAAGGGCCCACATTGTTCTGTCCCAACCAGCCACCCTTTTGAAAGTACTAAAAACACATCAGGGTCATCCACAGGTCCCATTCTGCAGAGTCCTGTCCCCTGTGCCCAGTTTCTGTTTGCAACTGCAGGACTCTCAAAGCTTTGCTGGAGTTGTTGCTGAACCTGGGCTTGCTCCTTAATAAATTCCTGCAGGCTCTTTGCTGCTCTGCCTGCCAGGCAAGCAAAGACTGTTTCTTTACATGGTGGGATTGTTGGAAGGCTACAGGGTCTTCTGCAGCTCTTTGCTGCTCCACCAGCCATTGCAGTGTTCCCTTCAGCATCCAGACTGCCAAACCTCTCTGTCAGGTTCTCCATTCACAAGGACACAGGCAACTTCCAGACAAGACCCTAAGTTGTGACAGAGTGACATGCCACATGGATGGCTCTTCCACAAACTCAGACCATGCTAAGACCTTGCTTGTAAATACCCCTCTGTAATTTATGTACAGTGTTTTAATCCTTCACCAACGCATAGCAATGTCTCTACGCTGTTACACTGTCTCTCAGGTTCTCGACCCATTCCCCAAAAGGGGAGGACAAGTTGGCTCTGCCCAGAGGACTCTTCTAGCCACCTTTCCCCCAAACACCCTTCCTGTGCCCTTTTATACAAGGTCACTGTTAATGCTTAATTGACACACCAGCCCCAATCTGGCTTGTAATCGGGTAGAGATCTGTCCAGTTAGACCTCCTCTAGGGAGAACCTAATGAGTACTAAAAGTGACTAGAGTGCTGGCCCTCTAGTCACAAATGGTAATAAAACTCTCTCTGCTGGAAATACCTTCCCTAATGCATTCTAGGATTGCATTAACTTTTTTTCTGGTTGCATCACATTGGTGACTCATAGTCATCCTGTGTTTGACCAGTACACCCAGGTTTTCCTCATACTGTGTCACTTCTAATTGGTAAGCTCCAAATTTATAGGAAAAATTCTTGTTCTTAGTCCCTAAGTGCATGACCTTACATTTTGCACTATTACATTTCATCCTGTTTCTATTACCCCAGTTTTCAAGGTTGGCCAAATGTATGATATTCCAGTCCTCCTTTGATTGGCAATACCTCCCGATTTTGTATCATCATAAATTTTATTAGTGCACTCCCACTTTTTGTGCCAAGGTCAGTAATTAAAATGTTAAGACAGACCGATCCCTGAGGAACTCGACTTGTAACTTCCCACCAGCCTGACGGTTCACCTTTCAGTATGACTGGCAGTTGTCTCTCTGTTAATCAGTACGTTAACAACCTTTTGATTCCCATCTACTTTAATTTCCTATGTGGAACTGTATCAAATGCTTTACTGAAATCCAGCCAGATTAGGTCTACTGCATTTCCTTTGTCTAGAAAATCAGGTATCTCAAAGAAAGAGTTGGTCAAGTTGGACTGGCACAACCATTTTGTAAAACCATTTTGTATTTTATCTCAGTTACCGTTTACCTCTGTCTTTATTTACTCTTTTTCAAAATTTGTTCTAAAACCTGGCATACAGCTGAGGTCAAACTAACAGATCTGTAGTTTCCCAGATCTCCCCGCCTCTCTCCCCCCCCCCCTTTTTTTTTTTACACTTTCTGAAATATAGGTCCTGTATTTGCAATTCTGCAGTCATAAGGTATGATCTCCAAGTTTATGGATTCATTAAGAATCCTGCCTATTAGGCTAGCAATTTAATGTGCCAGTTCCTTTAATATGCTTGGCTGGTGATTATCTGAGCCCCTTCCTCCCCCTGCATTTGGTCCCATTAAGCTGCTTGAGTTTGCCACATCTAAGGTATAAGTCAATTTCTGTTGCTATAGCTACTGCCACCCAGCTCCTCATTAAAAATTGAGGCAAAGCATGTGTGTAAATTTTGAGCCATACCCAGATTATCTTTAATCTCCACCATGTCCTCAGCAATGTTCCTGCTAATTTTTTCCATCCATGTGTGGAGTTCATTTTATGTGCACCAAGGTAGTGTGGTTGTGCACTACCAGTAGAAACAAAAAAACCTAGCTATAATATACATTTTTAAAAAGTTACCATAGGGATAATTACTCCAGCCAGGACAGGTTAGGCATTTTAGAACTCACTACTCAAAGAATTAAATTTGTGTAAGAAAAATAAAAATTATGAAATGCATAGACCAGTCAAAACACTAAAATAACACACTTTGAAAGACTAAAATTACAGAGAATATATGTGCATTGCAGAAAGTACCAAGCAGTAACAACAACAATAATACAAGTAGGTGTTGGGAGGCAAGTGTGAAAGAGACGGTGTGTGTGACAAACAAACTGTGTGTGTGTGTGTGCTGGCTATTGGGGAAGTTTGAGAGAGGCCATGCACTGTCTCTGTCTCTTTCCCACAGTATTCTTGCCAGCAAGTTAAAGAAGTATGGGCTGGATGAATGCACTATAAGGTGGGTAGAAAGTTGGCTAGATTATCGGGCTCAACGGGTAGTGATCAATGGCTCCATGTCTAGTTGGCAGCCGGTATCAAGTGGAGTGCCCCAGGGGTCGGTTCTGGGGCCGGTTTTGTTCAATATCTTCATAAATGATCTGGAGGATGGTGTGGATTGCACTCTCAGCAAATTTGCGGATGATACTAAACTGGGAGGAGTGGTAGATATGCTGGAGGGCAGGGATAGGATACAGAGGAACCTAGACAAATCGGAGGATTGGGCCAAAAGAAATCTGATGAGGTTCAATAAGGATAAGTGCAGGGTCCTGCACTTAGGACGGAAGAACCCAATGCACAGCTACAGACTAGGGACCAAATGGCTAGGCAGCAGTTCTGCGGAAAAGGACCTAGGGGTGACAGTGGACGAGAAGCTGGATATGAGTCAGCAGTGTGCCCTTGTTGCCAAGAAGGCCAATGGCATTTTGGGATGTATAAGTAGGGGCATAGCGAGCAGATCAAGGGACGTGATCGTCCCCCTCAATTCGACATTGGTGAGGCCTCATCTGGAGTACTGTGTCCAGTTTTGGGCCCCACACTACAAGAAGGATGTGGATAAATTGGAGAGAGTCCAGCGAAGGGCAACAAAAATGATTAGGGGTCTGGAACACATGACTTATGAGGAGAGGCTGAGGGAACTGGGATTGTTTAGTCTGCGGAAGAGAAGAATGAGGGGGGATTTGATAGCTGCTTTCAACTACCTGAGAGATGGTTCCAGAGAGGATGGTTCTAGACTATTCTCAGTGGTGGAAGAGGACAGGACAAGGAGTAATGGTCTCAAGTTTAATTGGGTATAGGTCCTGCTTTTGAGCAGGGGGTTGGACTAGATGACCTCCTGAGGTCCCTTCCAACCCTGATATTCTATGATTCTAAGTTGCAGTGGGGGAGTTTTAGGTTGGATATTAGGAAAAACTTTTTCACTAGGAGGGTGGTGAAACACTGGAATGCGTTGCCTAGGGAGGTGGTGGAATCTCCTTCCTTAGAAGTTTTTAAGGTCAGGCTTGACAAAGCCCTGGCTGGGATGATTTAATTGGGGATGGGTCCTGCTTT